TGGTACAGTTAAACCTGTTTTTAGATTAGTTCATGACTTGACTGTTTAGTGGTACAGTTAAAGTTGATGTTAGTTTGGTTCATGACTTGACTGTTTAGTGGTACAGTTAAACCTGATGTTAGATTAGTTCATGAAATGACTGTTTAGTGGTACAGTTAAAGTTGATGTTAGTTTGGTTCATGACTTGACTGTTTAGTGGTACAGTTAAACCTGGTTTTAGATTAGTTCATGACTTGACTATTTAGTGGTACAGTTAAACCTGGTGTTAGTTTGTTCATAAGCTGATCTTTTAATGACGTAGTTCAACCTGGTGTTAGTTTGTTCATAAGCTGATCTTTCATAAGCTGTATCTCATTAAGAACAAATTAAATGGGTTTACTCTATGTCCACCTGTTTAAAAGGTATCACTGACAAACACCCAGAATATTAACCGAATCTAACGTAAGTTAGTTTAACATTAAACAGTTTGTTCTGCACATCGAGAGACAGTAAAATTGGACCTAAATCCAAGTCTTTCTGGGTTAAAAAACGTGTGTTTTTTTTCTATTTATCTTTTATTTGGGTAGGCAAAGTTTCCTACTTAAAAAATAAAGTAACTTTACCCTCTGAACTTTATTCGTTTTGGTATAATACATTTGATGGAAACAGAAAGACCGTTTTCCGACACAGGTGCATCCTGGGATATTATAACTATACTTGTTGGTGATTGTAAGGCCCTATACATCGCCATCTTGCTGCACGTGCCTACGAACGCATGGGATAGCTCTTGAACACAGACATTCCAGGTTTATATCCTTCTAAATCGGGTCTCGAACGTCTCACCAAAGAAAGTATAGCATTGAATAAAGGCCTGGCATGGCCTGGTGGTTAGGGGTGATCGATTTGCATTATGTGCTCACGTGCTCTAATCGATCCCCGTCACCGAACATGCTCATCCTTTCAGCCAAGGATGTGTTATAATGTTTCGGTTAATCCCACCATTCGTTGGTAAAAGAGAAGCCCACGAGTTGGCGGTGGGTGGTGTTGACTACCTGACTTTCTTATAGTCTATCACTGCTAAATTAGGGACGGCTAGCGCAGATAGGCCTGGAGTAGATTTGTGCGAAAATCGAAACAAACCCAACCAATGAACGAATAAAAATCACCCTGTTCTTAGCAACCTAAACTACCTTTAATTACAACTATTTTCTTTCAGTCCACACATTTTAGATAAACTTTTTAAACTTGTATTTTCTCAAGGTTATTATTGTGACAGTAGAAACATCGTTTTTTTTTTGTATGTATATACTGATATAGATATATCTTTATTATATTAACTTTTTATTCTGTAAACACGTTGAAAATGGATTAAGTAGAATCCATTACATTTGTATAAAACCTGTTATTAATTTTTATTGTTTAACGTATGCTGGTTGATCATTTTTTTTACCTCTCTCACTGATCTGTTGAACGCTTATACGATATCACCATATTAAACATTTTTTTATTATGTGCTCTTAAGCCTTTTATATTTACTGAAACTTTCAACGGGCAGATGGCTTCATTTTATATACTAAACCTCCAGTAAGCAGCTAGCTGGCTTGACTACTGAGGTCTGAAGGCCAAAACGTATGATGTTTTAGCGTAGTGAAAAGTCCTGGTTTCTTTTTTTTGAGTTAGTAGTGATGCAAGTGATTCAAGACTCAAACGCTGGTTCATATTATACAGTTTTGACGTGGACGATGGAAATTCCCAGAACAGGACTCTTTTGGATGCTACAAGTCCGTCTTCGGGTCTTGTCCTTCAGTCAATGCCACAACGAAGAGAATCATTCCTATACAGATCAGACAGTGAGTTCGAGATGTCTCCCAAGTCAGTGTCACGACACTCGTCAATTGGTAGCGAATTGTAAGTGGGCTTTTTTTTTCTTACCTGAGTCTTGGTCTCACTATTCGATTTGGCCCGGCATGGCCAGGTGGTTAAGGAGCTCGACTCGCAATCTGAGAGTCGCGGGTTCGAATCCCCGTCACACCGAACATGCTCGCCCTTTCAGCCGTTAGGGCGTTATAATGTGACGGTCAATCCCACTATTCGTTAGAAAAAGAGTAGCCCAAGAGTTGGCGGTGGATGGTGATGACTAGCTGCCTTCCCTCTAGTCTTACACTGCTAAATTAGGGATGGCTAGTGCAGATAGCCCTCGTGTAGCTTTGCGCGAAATTCAAACAAACAAACACTATTCGATTAGAGTAGCCCAAGAGTTTGTGGTGGGTTCTTTTCATTTACTTCCTTTTCTTTAGTCTATAAGTTCTAAATTAGAGATGAATTCGTGCAAATAACTCTTGTGTAACTTTGCGTGAAAATTCTAAACAAACAAATACAATTAAGTAGAAATAACAATTGAAAACAAACAAGGAATTGTGAAGATGAGGAAATACTCTCCAATACATGATCTTAGAGGTGGTTGGACCAGTGTTTTGAAAAATAATGACATTTTTTATCTCATGAATGATGTACCTTCGAATTAAGTAAAAAAGAATAAATCAGCATTCTTCGTAATTGGCACAGCAGTATGTCTGCGGTCTTATACTTAAATCGGGTTTCGATACCCGTGGTGGGCAGAACAAAGATAGCCCTTTGAGCTTAATATCAAAGAAAACTTGTCTATTACAGATCTTATAACATTAAATATGTGTTTACAGACCAGTTGTTGATTAATTCCAGTTAATAACATCATCAGTTTCAAAGCTGAAATAGTGCTCAAAAATGTCTTTATAGTGGTTTCAAGTTTAAAAATAAGAATGTTCACAGATGTAGTGTATATTTTAGTTGAGAAAACACTGAATGTATTGTCACCAGGTGTCGCTGTGATAAACAATGTAAAGTAAACAAATATTTAGCATTTTCTTCCTGGACGGTATTTTATGTGACACTTGTGCAAAACAGTTAGGTCAATAACTCAAGGATTCAGGCCCAACCACCCCTAATTCAGGGCTAGAGATCACAGGAAGGGCAACCAGTTATGAGTACCTGACATCTACGGATCTACTCTTAAAACAAACAATAGGTCTGACTGTCATAATTATAACGCCTTAACAGCAAAAAGCGAGAAGCGTGTTTGGCGTTATGCTGCGTCTCGAACACTGGACCTTTTCCCATTCCCAGCCGGGGAGGCTAACTACTAGCCACGCCCGACCCTAAGTGTATTTCTGTCAATAGATTTCTATTACATTACATTTTATGATCAATTATTTATTTATCCAAAGACCTTAAAACTAATCTTTTGACTGTACGTACTTAAAGGGAAACACATCCTCCAGGAAGTGAAGATTGAGAGTGTTTTAAACCAGTCCACCTCCTCAGATGATCAAATGTACAATAAATGAACATTTTAAAGTAGCATTACAACTCGATTGTAGTAGCCAATTTTATTAACCATTAGTCTTGTAACTTTGGAGAAAACAACACAAAGCGCTGTTGGTTAACCTTTCTGTTTACATTTTATCAACTATACATTACGTGTACTTAGCTGTGTAATTTCACACTTTACTCAAGTCCTAATAAATAGAAATATCTTCATTTATATTGTCTTATTTCAGACATCTAGAAAAACCTGAATGTTTCTACTTTTATTAAAGTCCTAAATAATAAAAATATCTAATTTTTTATTGTCTTCTTTCCTTCAGACATCTAGAATACCTGATTATTTCTCTTTTTTTATTAAAGTCCTAAATAATAAAAATATCTAATTTTTTATTGTCTTCTTTCCTTCAGACATCTAGAAGACCTGATTATTTCTCTTTTCTTATTAAAGTCCTAAAAATTAGAAATATCTAATTTTTTATTGTCTTCTTTCCTTCAGACATCTAGAAGACCTGATTGTTTCTCTTTTTTATTAAAGTCCTAAATAATAAAAATATCTAATTTTTTATTGTCTTCCTTCAGACATCTAGAAGACCTGATTGTTTCTCTTTTTTTATTAAAGTCCTAAATAATAAAAATATCTAATTTTTTATTGTCTTCTTTCCTTCAGACATCTAGAAGACCTGATTGTCACTCCCTTTGCACAAATTCTTCAGAGTTTAAGAAATGTTCGCAATAATTACATTCTCATCACCAATGTACCTGCCAACAAGTAAGTATAAAATGATTTCTACATGATATAAAAATAAATTTATCTAAACGAATCAACCAAAGTTAATACAACTAAAGCAGTTCGTATTGACTTGAAACTAAAAGAACCAACGAGCTGTTTTATCTGCAGTTAAAGCTGTTTTATCTGTAGTTAAGGCTGTTTTATTTGTAATACAGATAAAGCAGCTTTAATTACAGATAAAGCAGCTCTAATTACAAATAAAACAGCTTTAACTGCAGATAAAGCAGCTCTAATTTAAACTCCTTTATCTGCAGTTAGAGCTGCTTTATCTGTAATTAAAGCTCCTTTATCTGTAGTTAAAGCAGCTTTATCTGTAGTCATAGCTGCTTTATTTGCAGTTAAAGCTGTTTTATGTGTAATTAAAGCTGCTTTATCTGTAGTTAGAGCTGTTTTATTTGCAGTTAAAGCTGGTTTATCTGCGCAGGATAATCAATGTGCGGTTTGAGCTAAACAAGCAAACCTTCCATTACAAATGTATTACCTCACCGACGAAAGACGTATATCTTTAAACCGATCAGTATTAATAAATTTTATTGAGCAAATAATAATTCTTATTCTTTCTATTTTTTCCATCAAGATCAAAAAGATCTTCAGGATCACTCGGGTCATCTTCAGGTCCGAACAAGTTTGGTGGTAAGAGGATTTAAAAAAGTTTTTCCTTGTGAAATGTTGTAAAATAGCTCAGCTCAAATGACATGTTTTGTCTTCTCGTTACGTACTGCAGTGAAACCAACATTAACTCAAATGACATGTTTAGTCTTCTTGTTACGTACTGCAGTGAAACCAACATTAACTCAAATTATATGTTTTGTCTTCTTGTTACGTACTGCAATGAAACCAACATTAACTCAAATTATATGTTTTGTCTTCTTGTTACGTACTGCAGTGAAACCAACAATAACTCAAATGGCGTGTTTAGTCTTCTTGTTACGTACTGCAGTGAAACCAACATTAACTCAAATGGCATG